GTCAGTAGTCTGAAAATGTTTTGTTGTGCAGCCAAACTCCATCGTGAGGACGATAGTCAAAATATGTCTTCTCTTCCCAAGCTTGTGTGCTATTTGTAGCATTTCGAATTAAAAAAAAAAATACTCGCTTTTTTAATGTCAGACTAACCATTTTAATCTTTGCTTTGGTCATCATATATTTTTGCACCTCCATTTACAAACACTTTAAGCAAGCATTGTGACGCACGTACCCCTACCTCAGTTTCACTTACAGTTCTTCTGTTTTACATATGCTTCATTATTCTCGAGCTGTAATTTATTACTTTCGTTATCATGCCACATACTGCGGACATGTATAGCACCAACCACATCGATTTCCCATCCACTCTGTCCTAAGTAATTTTCATTTCAAGAATGATATAAACAGTTCCTTTTCCACATTAACGTACCACTCACTTTTATGCATTAATGTAAACACTTGATCCATACAGCCACTTCTCTTTCTTTTCCTGTTTTGTTTTGGCATCGTAATTCTTGCCTGTCTCATCTGTTTTCCAATAAAAATTCTGCCAAGCACGTTACCTGGTGTATGCTTAACAGACTTATTTCTATTATTCTGACATTTCTGTCTACTTTTCCGTGGCATTTAGGAAACTTGAAGGATAATTATAAATAAACAAATATGCACCACTAACTAAAATTTCACAAATCAGCAAATGCAACAACATGAAAGAGGAGTGAAGTATTCTACATACCTACATAAACAACTTTAGAGTAACTAATAACTAGACAGCTAGTGTCGGCAACACTCTAAAGGAAGCTATTTAAAGAAAATTTAGTTAGTTATTCAATTTCCAAACGTATTCATGAATCCTTTGATATCGAGTAACAGGCGTCCGTGGAGAGGGTCGAGTGCTGTCGTCAACACCACGTCAGGCCGGGGCGACCAACCTCACTCTCAGTAGCAAAAATTAGATTCCTTTGATGATTCGATTGAAAAAAAGTATTTGCACTGAACTTATTACGTATCATACGTTGGAGAAAAACTGAGCTTCTTAAATATTCTCATTTACTTTGTTAATTCGCACTGCGTTGTTCAAAGACATGGGAACTTTGATGTAGTATAATTTCACAAACATGTTTACCATCTTTTCAACCGCTCAAGGGAAGCTCTCCGAGTCTTATTAAGGTCAATTGATTCAAGGATATTGACCTATCTCTCCCCATTCTTGGATCAAACCTGATTGTCTCCCTTTCCCGATCGTTGCATTACCTGTATGGGTGTAACGCTCCCCGTGAATATAACAATGACAACAATAATCTATCTTTTTCAACAATACGAGTCCTGACCATGATTAGGTGAATGATTTATGTATAATGTAGAGTAGAACGTAAAAATTATTCAGTCATAATTCGATATTAACGAATGAATGACACAGCTACGCCCTTTCTCTATGAGGTAACAAAGTTTAACATACCATTATCATCAGCAGTGTCACTAAAGCGTAGAAAGAGAATTACACATTGTATGTAGTTACAGAACTACAAAGTAGCGAAGAAGCAACTTACTACTGTGGCTGCAACAGTTAGCAACAAACCCTTAAATTGAGGAAGCTTAGTGCCAGTGTGTGCATCATCGCGCAGCTGCTTCAGCGCTTGTTTTCAAGGACGGTAGTGATGAGACATAGTTATTGAAATATTTGAAAACAAACCTTAATGACTTCTGTATTGTTCAACATTGTGGAAATAAATGGTATAAAATACCGACACAATGGAAATATAAACACATATGCAGTATAATGTGATCCTTTATTGATTACGTTTACGTTTGAAAAAGCCCACTGTGTGGGCGAAACGTAGTCAATAAAGGATCACATTATACTGCATATGTGTTTATATTTCCATCCGTTCAACATTGTGCCGAGCCTCCGCTAAATTTCGTAATTATGAGCAATGTGCATAAAAGCAGGAATTATTTTTTCTTTTTGTAATTTAAGGTCGTATGATTATAGTCTGGGAGCCAATATAAAGCTGCCGATGACATTTAAGGTCCATTTAGGAAGAGGGTTATCAAGTTAACATGTTAAACAGCAATAACGAGCTTCGAAGGATAAATAATGTGACCATTGGAAATAAAAAATTTATTTGATTTAGATTTTATTTAACTCTTTTTCGTTAACTATTATTAAAAGTAAAAGAGGCAAATCCAATGATAATATTTTAAGTAATATGCACTTCATTTATTTTGTGGCTGCCAGTATGTTCTATTATTAAGGATCCCAAGAATTAAATTAGTAATCATCACGTACAACACTTACTCTATGTTGAAGGGATTAAAATATCAACTACATACGAGGTTTCTCTTGGAGAAACTGCAAAATCTCTAGGGCTTAAACCTGGTGGATCCCCTTTACAAACTCATCACTCTAGGCCTGGCCTCTTACCCTTCTACCCGCGCTAAATATAACCCCCTCTCACTAGACGAGCCCTTAGTGCACCCAATCAATGGCTGCACATCCAGCCAAGCTCTTCCCTCCTCTCCCAATTATCTGATGACTCGACAAAAATAAACACACACACACACACGCACAGACACACAAACACACACCACACACACACACACACACACACACACACACACACACACACACACACACACACACACACACACACACACACACACACACACACACACACTACACACGCACACACACACACACACACACACACATACACACACACACACACACACACCACACACACACACATACACACACACATACACACACACACACACACACACACACACACGCACTCCCTCTCTCTCTCTCTCTCTCTCTCTCTATCTCTCTCGCTCTCTCTCTCTCAACCTAAACTACTTATCAGACACATTAGAAGAAAAATAGTTGTTAAAGTTAAGGCAGTAAGACAAATATTGGATGGCAAACTATTCACAGAGAACAACAAACTGGTCTACGACAAGTTAAAAAGAAATTTCAAGAAGCTTTCACGAGGAAACAGGTGCCGAGTCCAGAAATTACGAGAGAGTCACAAATCTAGCACCAAGAATGAACTTCGCAATTACATGATAAGAGATACTGGAATACCAGAGATAGCTAGAATAATAGAGAGTTTTCAGGTCTAACTGGATATCACCATGGATACTGCAGTGGAGAGTCTGACACCCGAGGTGAGCCACTTGCAAGTATCAAGTGTAAGTTGCCTGGTTGCTATGGAACGATCAACGTGGCTACCAACTGAAGCTGAGCCACGAATATCGTGTAAGGTACTTATGACTGATCTACAAGTTAAAGGTACATATCGGGGTAGCAAAAAAAAAAAAGATATTCAGTAAGCCACTCAATGCATTCCAGTTGGTGAGGAGCGATGCATCTCTCTTGGCAGAAATCATAAAACAAAGTACAGACTAACATAAGCTCAAAAGAAGAGAGCAAGGATGGAAACTGAACTCCCAGATGAGCCAGAGGGACGACAGGAAGCACTCTTTCATAGTAAAGATTGTGAGTAATGTGAATGAGTTATTTGATAAGACAGCGAAGGCAAACTCCCTACATGGATTCTGAGGTAATAAGACAGAACTAAGTCAGACGAAGGTGAAGACGTTAGTCCAGGAACTAGAACTCGAGTCCTGCAGTATCAACTCTGGGCATACACAGATGCACGAGCACTCTTGAGTCCTGCTTGTGTAAACAATGAGGGTGGTGGTCGTTGTATAATGTATTATGGTGAGAGTAGTAGCTGGTGTTAGCATTATTGGTGATGATATATGATGTATGAAGGTGAAAGTGGCAGCTTGTGTGTATAGTGAAGGTGGAGGTCTTTGTATAATATATGATGTATTAAGCATCCAGCAGAAAGCAGTGGCTGGAGGCAGCCTTTCTCCTGTGGGAGGCGCTGCTGGATACCTGCAGACACATCTGTCAGGATAAGTTTCTGCAGAAGATCTCTGCCTCTCGAGGCGAGAATGTAAGTATCGACCAGTGCCTTCTGTGTCTCAGTCAGACGCCCGCTGGCTGAGGGTGTGTGAACACTGCCCCTCCACGGGGTATACCTGCCACTCTTCTGATCGCTGCCGACACACAGGTCCTTGTAATGCCTCATTACATATGCCCTGTGCGCCTTCTGTTGACTGCTGAATATTTTACCAAGCAAACACAACTGCCTAGTAAAGGGTAATGCTTCTGGATGAAGGCGTTTTCACGACTTATCTCACTACAGTTTACATATAAAATTATTGCTCGTTGTAGTACTGTGGAATACAATATATTTGACTGCTGTTGCATTGTTGCATATTGACAGTACGCAGACAAGTTCGGTTTGAAGGGCGTAACGCGTCTAGTGTTATGTGTACAAACTCATCAAATTACTTAAAAAGTTTTACTTAGAGCGAAACGTGGTCCAAAAAAGTCCTGATTTTCTCACTTACGTCTTTGTACATGAAAATACAAGAATATTCCTCTAGATCGAGACCCCAAAGTACAAAAATCTGTACAAAATCTGGCAGAGTACCATATTAATCTTGTCTGAAACACTTTTTCCAAGAGATTCCATGAATCCTGGTCCAAGGAAGTGGACTCACTCTCGCCTTCCTTGGATAGAACCTGATTACCTTCCAGTCCAAAGGAGCTATATAACTCCTGTGGGTTTGGCGCTTCCCTCTGATTAAAATAAATACACCTTCTCAAGAGTGGTCTAGGAAGCGCCGAGAGAAACAGTAGGTCATTACTCATTCAAGTGTCAACACGAGGAGGAGAGACGGGAGCTCGGCGTCTTGAGTGCTACTTCAAGCGCCTGGAGTGCTACTGCAAGTGTTTGGAGTGCTACTGTAAGTGTCTGGAGGCCTACTGCAAGCGTTTAGAGTGCTACTGCAGGTACCCTGAGTACTACCGAGAAAGTTTTGCGTGCTACTTCGTGTCGATGTTTTTTTCAGAAAACAGACAATATATTACTTCTCCAATCATTTGTATTTTCTCCTGAGTCACTCTCACATGTAACCGATG